GACTCTATGCATTCTCATATCACATTATCATTTCCCATGGTCATTTCACATCATCACATTTCGTCATCACATTTCATTATCACATTTCATATTATCTCATCATATTCACAAAGCCTCCACAGAGCACTTTAATTTATATCAAAACTCGTTTATTTATAAAATTAAATACATATTTACATTATACATCACACAAGGAACGTAACAGAACATTCAAAAAGCGAAACAGAAAACATTAATTTTTGCCTATTTTCTATAGGGTTTCCCGTAGAAACCCACAGATTAGAACAAGTAGTCATTGTTATGTTTAATAAGATTTTTTTGCTCAATCATTAATAGAATTCAATTTTCATTGTTATTTTTGTAGTTTGTGTTCTCTTAAAAAAAAATAAAAAAATTTGTGGTCAAACCAAAAAATTGACCGGCTCACTCCGATTTGAAACGAGTTAAATACATAACTGATCCAATTCAAGATTCAAACTGACTAGACCATCGGTTCCCGATTCAACCGATCCGACATACTAGTTCAATCCGATTTTTAAAACACTATTCCTCTATCAAAATACAGATGCAAATTCTAACATGCGTGAACGATTTATTAAATATAAGCATAATTTTTAAATTAAGAAATGATTCCTACTTTACTTTTTGTTGGATTTCTCAGAAAATCAATAAAAACAAATCATTAAAAATTAAGAATTTTTATTATTGGAGTGAAAAATAATAAATATTCTTAAAACTAATGTGTCCACAAAGAACTCACTTAATTAGGATAAAGAAACCAAATAAGGTTACTTGGTTAGAGATGCTTGCTGAAATTAGAAAAAATAAAAATTGAGTGATGTGGACCACTTAATAACTTTAAGGGAGTTGCTACGGTACCCTCTAAAATTGAGGGATTTTAATATATTTTTTTATGTAAACTTATAAAAGATTTAAAAAATTAATTTAATTATAAAATGAATAATCTAAATTATACTTATGAAATAAAAAGTAAGATAAAATTATAGAGATTAAAATTATAAGATTTTAATAATATTATAAAATATTAAAAAAGGAAAAATTTAATAAATAGTAGAAATAAAAAGTTATTAAAATTACAATATAGAAATTCAAAAATTTAAGACAAAAAAACAAAAAATATACTTAAAAAATTATTAAAATTAAAATATAGAAATTCAAAAATTTTAAGTGAAAAGATAAAAATATACTTAAAAAATTATTAAAATTAAACTATTTAAATATATAATAATATTATTACAAATAAATTAGAATATATAAAATAAAAATAAAATAACTAAATAATTTAAAAATTGAAAAAATAAAATATCATAAATATTATTTAAATAAATTATTAAAAATATAAAATATACCCTCTCAAATAAGATGGGTACATAGAATTTCTCTAACTTTAAAACAAATTCTGAGTTAAAGATTCTCCGAGACTTTGTTCTGTTTCACTGTATGAGTTAGAGATGATATCAGTCATCACCATTTGATAATTGATAGTGATATATTTGCGGTTCTAATTTCGTCGTTAATGAGTGAAATCACTTATTACTTAGCAGACACAAAATACAATAAATTTGGTAAAGGGTTGTGGCACTTTAAAGTGAAGAAAACTCCACCTGAAACTAGAAGGGGAAAGTGCTCCTAATATTAGATTAGACCCTCTACCATGCTCCTCTGCCACTGCCACTGAACCTCCCAGGAGAAATGGCAATGGAGAAGACGGTGTTTGTTTTGGTGAATCTGCTGGTGTTCAGTGCCTCTCTTGTGTCCACAGAGCAGAGTCATGTCTCAGCTGTAGGGGACCCGGGAATGCAGAGAGATGGTCTGAGGGTGGCCTTCGAAGCTTGGAACTTCTGCAATGAAGTTGGTCAAGAAGCTCCTCATATGGGTAGCCCAAGAGCTGCTGACTGTTTTGATCTTTCAGGTAAGCCAAATCTTCTAAATTTTATATTACTTCATTACATATTTTCTTCTCAATGTCATGCTTCATGCTTTTCCTTTTTGTTGTGTCACATTATCTATATGTATATCAGAATACCTGTCTTTTCTTGTACACCCAAAGGGTTAGAAAGAAATTAGTCAGTCACTGCTCTTAACTGTAATATTTTGTATCAATTACGTAGTTAAAAAAAATATTATGTATCGCATGTCCTCTTCATATTATATAATTTCCCGTATATTTTTCCATTTCTAGTTTTAATTTATATTTTTAAAAAGCAACAATGCTTTTTCTTTTTGTTGTTGAATGTTGTGAGTGGTTGTGATGGTCAGGTTCTCTGACTCACAAGGTCTCAGAAGCTGATAACAAACTTGGGGTGGGGGACTCATTTCCTGGTATAAAACAAGAGCATATCAATAATACAGACCTTTATGCGGTTGAAAAGGAAGTGTATTTGGGTTCTTTATGTGAAGTTTCAGACACCCCAAGGCCTTGGCAATTTTGGATGGTAATGCTGAAGAATGGAAACTATGACACCAGGTCTGGGTTATGTCCCAAGGACGGGAAAAAGGTACCCCCTTTTAGTCCGGGGCGGTTTCCCTGTTTTGGACAAGGGTGCATGAATCAACCCATCTTGTGTCATCAGCAGACACAGCTCAAAGATGGCACAATGCTAGGGGGATTCAGTGGTACTTATGATTTGGATTCTGATTGTGGGGGTGAACACGATGGTGTCTCTTACTATGAGGTAGTTTGGGAGAAGAAAGTTAATGTTGGGAGCTGGATGTTCAAACACAAGCTAAAGACCTCAAAGAAATACCCTTGGCTGATGTTGTACCTTAGAGCTGATGCAACCAAAGGATTCTCTGGAGGTTACCATTATGACACAAGGGGAATGCTAAAAACTGTGAGTCCATTAGTCCAACATTTCCTTCAGAATCCAATATTTCAAAATTTCCAATTCCATTTATAACAAAACTTAAGGACAGTAACATAGGTATCATTGATGCTATTTTTCAATTAGAACTAAAATTTTATCTCATAATATGTATTTATGTTTAATGAAGATTTTGATAATAAAATTTACACATTATTGTGGAGAAACTCCAATTAGAGAACTAAATGGCTTTGTACTTAATTTTTTTCATTATATTTAATAGTTAATTTAGTAAGCCCTTAATTTCCTTCAATGCATATAGTTTGATTTGGCATAATTAACCATTTGGTTTGGTTCATGATTCAGCTTCCAGAGTCACCAAATTTCAAGGTCAAGTTGAGTTTGGATATCAAGAACGGGGGAGGATCCAAGAGCCAGTTCTACCTTCTAGACATTGGAAGCTGCTGGAAGAACAATGGTGCTCCTTGCGATGGCGATGTTCTCACTGATGTCACTAGATATAGTGAGATGATCATCAACCCTGAAACCCCAGCTTGGTGCAGCCCCAAAGGTTTGGTCAACTGCCCCCCATTTCACATCACCCCAGACAACAAAAAAATCCTTAGAAATGACACAGACAATTTCCCCTACTCTGCTTATCACTACTACTGTGCTCCTGGGAATGCACAACACTTGGAGCAACCAGTAAGTACTTGTGACCCTTACAGCAACCCTCAGGCACAAGAGATAGTTCAGTTGTTGCCTCACCCTATATGGGGTCAATATGGCTATCCCACCAAAAAAGGTGATGGTTGGGTGGGGGATGCAAGGACTTGGGAGCTTGATGTTGGAGGACTATCTAGTAGACTCTACTTTTATCAGGTTAATAATTGAACTAGTACTGTACTATTGGAATCTCATGAGTCATCATTCACAAATTTGAATTTATCTTGTGTTGTGGTGCAGGACCCAGGCACTCCTCCTGCCAAAAGAATATGGACATCTGTTGACACTGGTACTGAGATATTTGTTAGTGATAATGATGAAGTAGCAGAGTGGACTCTCAGTGACTTTGATGTCATTCTAACACAACGAGGGACCAACTTGCTGGATAAGGATGAGAGGAAGTAGTAGTAAGGGATATTGACAGTGAGCTAACCTTTTGGGATTTTAGATAGCCCACGAAGTGTAGGTTTCTAAACCCTAAGGGTGCTAGAGCTTACAGAGATTTATAGAGGAAAAAAAAATCTCGTGTCAAAAAAATCTTGGCTTGGAGATTGTAAACCAAGTTACACCCACAAAATAACATGTTTGGCAAACTCATGGTTCAGTTGCATCTTAATATATTTTGAATCCCAAGTATTAGGATTTTAGATTGTCCAGTGTATTTGTAGATCCTAGTGGTGCTAGAGGTTACAGACATTTACATGAAAATAAATCTCATTGGTCAAATCCAGATCACAGGATCAAGAGCTGTGCATTTTTGGATTGTAATTTGCACTTTCCAAATCTTAGTTTGGAGATTGTGAACTGAGTTACATCCACAAAATAATGTTTGGCAAAATCATGTGAGTTGCATTTGAATGATTTTGTATCCCAAATAATGATTCGAGTAGAAATGGAAAATAGTTATGTTGGGCCAAATAATAGTTTGTAAACTATAATTTGAATACATCCTTAAAGTAAATTGATTTCAATAACTTTTTTTATCTTCTAATCTAGCATATTTGATATTTTGTTTTCGTTCGTGATATGTATATTTTAAGATAATATATATTTTTTTAATTAAACTTGTTGGTGAAGTAGAAACAGTCACTACATGGCACAACAAATTCAACTATGAAATTGAACAGTTTTACTAATTAAATTAAAAGCATAGTTTTCTTTTGACGATTAATTTTACTATTCTTATGAATTGATTATAAATTAAAAATTGAATAAACTGCTAACTAAAAAAAGATTGAAAACTAAAAAAGTACATTTTTTTTAGGTTGGATTGATTTTCAGTTCTTATGTTTAAAATCCAATTGGCTGTTAACATATTGAATTTATAGTAGTTCTTATATAAACATATTATATTAGTTTTTCTATTCTACATTCAGATAAATTTGAAAACGTTTTGGGATATGATTTGTGATTTAGACTAAGTTGTGACTATATGGCGAAATTTAATATGGTGTAAAATTTCTTTAAAGGGGATGTCGAGGGTGGTGTAAAATGGTGCAGATATTTCACACAATTTAATTCGTCACCAGTTCTCATAAGACAATGTACCTTTTACAAAATTTCGATGCAGAAGTTGAGTGGGATGAGGACCCACCATGTGATTGGCACCTAACTTGTAACCATATTTTTCATCGTTTAACACGACCACATGTGATCCATGGGATCCAGCATTTGGTAATACATTGGTTGGTTTGTTGATCCCAAAATACAAACTTAGATCATAAATTTTCATGAATAGATGCTCCTTTTTTTTTCTTCTTTTTTTTGGTATTACTTGTATTGCTGCTTTATTGTTTTGAATGCTTGCCAAATGTTTAGCCTGGGACATTAGTTTATACTTCGTGCAAGTGTTAAACACTAATGTCATAGGAATATACTGATGAAAGTGATGATGAGAATCATGAAATGGAACGCGTCACGCAATTAGGTGATGCCATAACCGTGAAAATTGACTTTAGGTATTTGATTCAGAATTTGCACCCTAGCTAGGGAAGCAGATACAGCAGTTTGATTATTTCTTTTATATTGACCATGGGTCCATCCATAGTCTAGTTACTTAATACTTCCTTGATCTAATAAATAAGAAAATTAATAGAAAGATTTAGAATTATTTACCCAAATATTCAAATGTAGATAATGTAGTGGCTAATCACCGAAAATCACAAACCAACTATCTTTACTAGTTATCCTATTTAGTACATTCGTTGACGGCTAGTTGTCTTTTGGGCCTTTGCCCAAAAAACCTGTTGATCATGGTTGACCTGGATTAAACATACAAATAATTAGTTAAAAACCTGTTTTCGTCCCTTACATTATTTAATATTTTTAATTTAGTTCCACTTTAATTTTTGATCTTAATTTGGTCCCTAATAACTTAAATTAGTGCAATTTGGGACTTCCGTCCAAATGATTTAGACGGAGTTAATTGTTGGCCACGTGGCATCTACGTGGATGCGCACGTGGACGCCAAATTTTTTTAAAAAATCTGAAATTAGAACGACCCGTTCTGAAACTAAAACATCCCGTTCTGAAACCAGAACGGGTCGTTCTAATATTAGAACGGGCCGTTCTGGTTTTAGAACGGACAAGTTATGTGTTAATTTTACAATTAGAACGGGCCGTTCTGGTGTTAGAACGGACCATTCTGAATTCAGAACGGCCCGTTCCAGAACGCCATGCTTTTTATTATATTTTTTTTATTATATCTATATTAATAAATATATAATAAATAAAAAATACAATAAGTTAATATTCATTTATGAATAAAACTAAAAAAAATCAAATTAGATAAGACCTTCCAAAATATTTCTTTGATTTGAATTTATCCAGTTCAAAATCTTGACTAAAATACCACAATGTATTTCAAAAATTGAAAATAAAATACAGGGTTTAGGGCTACCTCCTCAAGAACAGGTTGTTATTGTTGGGGTACATCGTCAATGACTTTAAGGAAAAACACTGTTTCGTTTTATCCTTGACTGTATAGTGTCAATTTGGTAGTAAGTGGTTCATTTCAGTTTGACTAACAATGAAATAAAACTTGTTACCATTGTCTTTAGTGATACACTACATCATCCTTAATAATATACTGTATAGCTCAAGTGTTTAGCGATTGAAGTTATTAATCCTCATTAACAATATTACTAAATCTAATGTTTGAAATGCTTTGAATTTTCCCTAAAAAAAATGCTTTGTATTTTGGTTTTTGTGGCACGAAATTTTGGATCAGAAAGACCCGTTCTGAAACCAGAACGACCCATTCTGAAACCAGAACGACCCGTTCTGGTTACACTGTTGATGTGTTAATTTTGGACCTGGAACGGCCCGTTCCAGGTGAAAATTTTACACACCAATAATGTAACCAGAACAGGCCGTTCTGGTTCTAGGTTTATTCAAGTATTTTTGGATCCACCTACGTGGCATCTACGTGGCATCCACCTGACATTCACGTGGTCACCAGTTAACTCCGTTTAAATCATTTAGACGGAAGTCCCAAATTGGAACGATTTAAATTATTGGGGACCAAATTGAGACAAAAAATTAAAGTGGGACTAAATTGAAAATATTAAATAATGTAAGGAACGAAAAAAGGTTTTTAACCCAAATAATTTGACCAAATAAAAAACGATACAAATAATTTTAAATATACTTGTTGTATACCATAACTCCTAATGGTCACTTTTTACCAAATAAAAGTACTTGTTTTAATCCTTCCAAGCTGGTCATTTATTTAGATTAGCTAGATCTAAAGCCACATTATTATAGTAGTTGCTATTCCAATTCTTCCACTGTTTTTAACTCTATACTCTTTACGATCTAAAAAATCATTTGTCCAGCTCCATAACAACTCACAGCTACTTTGTTGATTGCTAAAATATTTTAAGTTAGGTCATGATAAGTTTTGGTTTTATGTTTTGTTAAGTTGGAATGGGAAATGGGCAAAAATAAAATAAGTAGAGTAGTAGTATTTATTTGATATATAGTTACACAATTTTAATATTAATTTTGAATAAAATTTAATAATATTATACATAATTTTAGAGCTAATTTTGAACAAAATTTAATAATATATTTTATGTGTTACTATAGTCTATGTCTATATTTTTTTTTAACAATATATCAATATATATTGTATCTATTGTGTGAATGAAAATAATTTTTAGTAATAAATATAATAACATTATAGAATATTTGTCACTATATAACAATTATATATATATATATATATATATATATGAGATCTACTTATTTTAATATATATATATGAATGCATCCTTCTTTCAATACTTCAAATGTACTATAAGAAATATTTAGAATTTTTTTTAAATAAGATTATCTTTTTCATTACAATTTGTACGCGTACGTTAGTATACATGAATCTACAAGAATTGTCCTTAAAATTAATTTTTATATTTTTTATTTTAAATTTTAAATTTTAATAATAATAGAGTAAATTATTTTTTTATCATGCAAATTAAAAAAAGACTTACCATATAAATTAAATAAAGATTCACATGTATTTAAAACTATAATTTATTTGTTTATTTAAAATTAAATTTATTGACCTATTTAAAAAATCGTCAACATCATATTTTTAAAAACATATTAATGGAAGTTTCTCACGCTGGTATAAAACAACTATTCGTAAAAAAGAAAGGTTAATTAATTTTTTTTGTTTATTTTTATTTCGTTAGTTTAATATATATATATTAAAAGTTATTAGTACATGAATCTTAATTCACGTGTGTTGCTTAGATGTTAAAAATTCATTTGATACTATGATTGAAATCTACCTTCTATAACATTATGTCTATCACAAGTATAAATTGGAGATAAAAATAGTTATATGAAATATAATGGTGTCAAAAAAGTGGAGATAAAAAATAAATTATACAATCAGTATACCTTTTATTTATAGTAGAGTATAAAAGAGGAAAAGATACATATTGTGTATCTATATATTTTTTCAAAAAAAATAAAAATAACAAAAATTATTAAAAAGATAACAATGATGATTTTATTTTATTTTTGGAAGAAAATAATTATTCAATAATGATTGTTATTATAGAAGATAATGTGCGGTCATTAAAATAGTCTTTGATTATAATGATAAATAGAGGTAAAAATAAAAATATTTTAAATAAATATATATAAATAAGTTAAGGGTAAATGAGTTTTTAAGAAAAATAGAATGATATAACATTTATATATAATATAAATTATTTGATTTCCTTAAGTATGATGAAATTTTTGTTTTATTGTTTTGGTAAGGCTGTAATATAATCATACTAAAATATGTATTTTTTTTTAATATATAATTTCTTTGTCAGCCTTCTGTTTGTCTTATATACCTTAGAGTCAAATGTTTAAATTAAAGAAATCGATCAAATACTAGGCATATATATTGGTACGACGTACAAAATTCAGCTAGCAAAAGGAAAGAAGTACCACAGTACTACAAACTAAAACATAGTAGTACACATTTCAGAAGTTGTTCTTTTCATTACACTTTGACACTGAGTCTGTCTGTGAGATAGCTAGTACCAGAAGTACCCGTAAGTGAAAGTAGTACACCTAAAATTTCATAGTACAGACATCATTCATGTACTGCAAAGTACAAAACATTCCTCCTTCTGAGATCACATATAGGAATCAGATTGAATCATACATACACTCGAACCTCGAGAGTGCATTTTTGGCGGAATCGTAACACAAATTTTAACGAGAAGAGTTCGGGCAACGTTGTTTAATCTTAGAAAGATGAGGTAAGGTAATCTAGATTGTAGAGACAGGACAAAGCAGGGGAACAGGCAGAGCATGGATGGAGCTATCAACACAACAAAGTGAGAGGAGAAATCTGTTGAGGTTTTGCTCATGCACTGCCTCTTCCCTGGCTCTGTCTCTATTTCTCCTTCCCTTGTTCCTCTTCATTTATTCACAATAATTTATATTCAAATGTGTTCATAGGTTCAACTCAAGAAGGTATGAACATACTCTGGCTATTGAAAACTCCGTTTGACCCATTAACTTTTTTCGCACCACTAATCCTCTCTTAGATGCCTGAACACGCATTATCACTTCTACCGCATTCTTAGATGCCTGATCATGGGAAAATGCTACTATCCCACTACTTGATTTACATTTTCACACTTTCTTTTTTTCAAGCAATAGGTATCTTCTATGGGATGCAGGTACTATTCAGCAATGGTTTCATTCCAAGTATTTAAGGTACATGCCATGCTTAAAAATGAGAACACCGATCTCATCAAAACAATCATCTATACTAGTAACGTAGTAAATCACAAATTTTACATGTTAGCTTAGGTGTAAAAAAATTGGTGTGACAAATTTTATGGCTCGGAGTTATTTCCCTTTGCTTGTAGATTCCTCTCAAAATTCATGTACTCATTTATATCTCATCCTATTTTTAATTATTGTATTTTATGGTCAATAATTGTTTTCGTTACGTGAAACTTGTTCTACAGGCCACGCAGAAAGATATTTTGAATGAAAAGTACAAAGAGATTGAAAGATTACTCAATATCATCAAGTTATCTGAGTTTTGTTTTGCAGGAATGATACGCTAGTTGCATGGTCTACATTGAACAAACTCACCAACGAAAACCATGAATGCCATTAAATGATAAGGGAGGTGCAGAAAACACACTTGTAGCAAGAGAAAGAAAAGAAAGTTATCTCATTCAACAAATCAGAAGGAACTTACATGATGGAATCTGTATGAGAAAAGCACAAGGACTTAGAAGGGTCAACTAGAACACAGGGTTGATCTTCTCCCACTCCCAAATTTATGGTCCACTTTTCCTGATTCTATAGCTTTAAATCCCTCAAAAGAGACACGTAATGCTCTTGAACATCCCCTATACACTTTTGTCCTCCAACCATGGTTGCAACAACCTCCCACAGTTCTGGGTGGTTCTCATCTACCACTACTAAAGCCAGCTCAAACAATTTGTTCTCCTTCAAACTCCACCCACACAAACCCTTAGGAGAATCATCCATGTCATTTGTTCTGTATGACATCTTCAGAGGACTATGACTCTGAGGAATTACCATAAATTTACATTATGGTATTTTTTAAAGGCGATTCATATCTCAAGACTACATTTGTTGATTGACCTGCAAAATTGCCTTGTCTTTCGTGTCATTAGAAAAGCTACGTGAGATTAATTAAAACTCAACTTTTGATAATGAAAGTTTATTTGTTATGGACCGAAACAACAAACTGATAATAACATGGAGACAAAATGGATTACCTCAATATTCATTTATTGCAATAATTAGTATGTCTCCATTTTATTTTATTTTTTTTCCAGTTCCAATTTACATCGCTTGAAGTCATGTGGTTCTAGCCGGCTTTATTGGAAATTTATCATCGTGTAAAATTTATACATGAACATGGTAGAAGAACGGTCAGAAATTGTTCGCCAATTATCTATCCACGTTTTTTCTCCTTTCAAATTTCAACACTTTACGTTGCAAGGATAGTAGGTGCATTCGGTGGGTAAATAAGATTGAACATTGCTTGACCTTTATGCAAGATTCGATGCCTTATCTATTGGAACGAGGTCACTTAATTTCGAGGGTTAGTACGTGATCAAAGCTAAGAAGTTGGAAGCACAATAACTAAACGAGTAGGACATAGGAGAACTAGGCTAGATATTTTTTAACTACATGGCAATTGGCAGCACAGCATAAATGAAAAGCAATTTTGAATCTAACAATATTTAAAATATATTTTAAGTTTAGAATCAGAAAAAAGTAATATTTATAGAAAACAACATGATAACCTACGGACCAGGCCCAAACGTACCAAAGCCAGCCCAGCAAGATGAGAGATTACATTACAGCAAACCATGCAGCAACCCATGTTATTTCTGTATTCAATAATGTTGATCAAACACATGTATGGAGTAGATCTAGCATACTGACTCTTTATATTGTTGTATGAAAGATGAACATGACATCATTACAAGAAAATTGACATATAGTGACACACATCCTATAGTGACATAATATGTGTCACTAGCTAAAAACTAATTTTACCTACACAATAAATATAATAATGTTGATATATTGTTAAAAAGTGTGGGTATAAACTATAGTGATACACAAAATATATTGTTAAATCTTATTCAAAATCAACACTAAAATTGTGAGTAACTATATGCCAAATAGATATATACCTATATATATTATACTTATAGCTAGTAACATTTTTTGTATGTGACTATATGTAATATTTATTGTAGTGCATGAATGGTAATTCTGAATTTCATTCTCTCTTAGATTCTATATTAGAGTAGTACTAGTTCTTAGAAGACTCGTCTATCACTAATGTTCAATAGAACATGGATGACAAGAGATTTTATTCAACCAATTAAATTAGACCTGTTGATTATATAACTGATATATTACTTCACAGTGTTATTTATGAATTTTGAATTTAATTATTTTCCCTTTAATTCCAATAATATATACTCTCATTAATGAGATATCATTTTAATTAGTTATTAAGCATTTGAAATTCTTAGCATGATTCCATCACTTCCCGTAAAAGCAAACATAGAATATAGATTATTACAAATTGGTTCCACCAAACAATGTAATCCAAAGATTGGGTGCTTTATGAAGACCATAGAAATACTTTCTTTTTTGTGCACCTTCAAAGAAGTAGTATAAGGAGTAAAACTAGAATTAGTCAACTCCTTCTTCACAATATCTTGAAGTTGAAGATGCTTCGTTTGAAAATTGTATTGTTCTTCATCTTTAACTTCAAGACTAGTGGCAGTATTAGGATAAGAGTTAAGACTTTTATGCATAAGAAGAGTACTTTTCAATGCTTTTTTTATGGTTAAATAACTTTCCTTGGTCACAAATTCTTTAGAGGAAACCCCTTTATCTTTACTGTAGCTCACCTCCCTCCAAAGTTCAATTTGTATACTTAGTCCTCCAAGTACTTAGTCTTAACCTTTAAAAATTGCTTTTAAAAAGTCTTTAATAAAACAAAATCTTTCACCTATAATGGAAGAATTTTCTACTCCTCATAGTGATAGTAATTCAAGTGATAACAATGAAATTTCCAAAGTATCACTTGAATTAAGATCACTAAAGATTTGGAAAGAGCAAGAGGCCAAACAAAGAATTAAAGAAAAATTTGAAAGAGAGGCCCAAATTGCACTTTTGGAAGAGGAAATTCGTTTATTAAAGGAAAAAGAGGAAAAATTGCACAATAGACACCGAAGTAAACATAGTTCTCAAGCTCATAGTTCAACCATAGGAGAATCCATGCATGATGATAGCCTAGCCTTAGGTGATCATTATAAACAACCTCCTAGGAGAGTTCATAGGACCCCCAAAGCTATGGAATCTAGGGTAGATCTCACTTACTTTCATGGCAAAGATGATGTGGAGGGGTACTTTGATTGGGAAATGAAGGTTGAAAAAATTTTCACTTGCCATCAAGTGAGTGAAGAAAGAAAAGTGCCTCTAGCCACTTTGAGTTTCCAAGGCCACGCCATGTATTGGTGGACATCCCTTGTTAGCGATAGGCGCCTCCATAATGACCCTCCAATTCAATATTGGAATGAGTTAAGGAGTGCTTTGAGAAGGAGACACATTCCCTCATACTACACTAGGGAGCTTATCAATAAGCTCCAAAGACTCCATCAAAAGAACATGAATGTAGAAGAATATAGACAAATCATGGAGTTATATTTGATGAGGGCTGGCATTAGAGAGGAAGAAGACATTGCCATTGCTAGATTTTTGAGTGGTCTAAACTTTGAAATAAGAGATAAGGTTGAGCTTTTACCTTATAGAGATTTGAATGACTTGGTTCAACTTTGCATCAAGGTTGAACAAAAAAATTTGAGAAAAAATTTCAAGACAAGCTCATACTCATCTTCTTATTCAAAGAATCACTACAAGAGGGAGGGAAAATATTTTGAAAAGAAAAATACTTTTGAATCCTCCAAAAATCTAGACAAGGGTAAAACAAAAGAAGAAAAAGAAAAGAAAAACACCTCACACACTAGCACCAAATCTAGTGACATAAAGTGCTTTAAATGTCTTGGGAGAGGCCATATTGCTTCTCAATGCCCTAACAAAAAGGTACAATGGAAAGGAAAAATTACAAGAATGAAAATGAGCCCAATATTGGGTACCAAAAGCCCAAAGGCCCATGAAGCCCAAAACTAGGCCCAACAAGCCTAAAACCTAAAATGCTACTCTATGTGGTCCAAAATACAAGACCAAAATATATGATACCTATACTAACATGATGTATACAAAACATATGAAAATAGCTATAACAAAATATGGCCCATGAAAAGTTCAACTTGGGCCTTCCTAGGCCCATCGGGCCCATTGGGCCCTGACTGGCCCAAACCTTCATGTCTAGCCAACTCCTATTGGATCTTTGAGTATGTCACCTCTTGCACTCCAAAGCATGATTCCATCACTTCCCGTAAAAGCAAACATAGAATATAGATTATTACAAATTGGTTCCACCAAACAATGTAATCCAAAGATTGGGTGCTTTATGAAGACCATAGAAATACTTTCTTTTTTGTGCACCTTCAAAGAAGTAGTATAAGGAGTAAAACTAGAATTAGTCAACTCCTTCTTCACAATATCTTGAAGTTGAAGATGCTTCGTTTGAAAATTGTATTGTTCTTCTGGCATTCCTTTCGATCCTAGCTTCACCAAGGCTTAAGCCTCAGATGTTGAGTGTTATAATCTCTTTTTAGCATACGTCACTCAAAGGAAGAAACCAAAAAAATATAGGAAATCGATTTCCCGGTACTGCTTTTTTTAATGCAGATACAATCAATCGATCCTTTATCCTTCGTTTGAGGAACCCATTTGTAATCGTTATTTTTCTTTCTTTCTGTATCAACCATTTTGATCTTTGTCTTCGGTATAGACCGGTGTTAACAGAAGCAATCAAATTTTTCCTTTAACTATTTGGTTTTATTATATATATATTTTTGCTACATTTTAATCACTACACCAAAATTAGGTTTTTGTGGCAATTAATTTATTCTTTAGCGACCATATAAATGGTCATTATTTTTTTACCAGCATTTAAATAATGGTTGGTGTATCCAGTGTCGCTAATACTATTACCGCCATTTATATAAAATGCTGGTAAAGACCTACTAAATTGTCGGGAAAACTTATTTTTTTAGTGGCAATTTTAGTAGTCATTTTAAAAGCTATTCAAAGTTATTTTTTCAATTGTCTCCTTTCCATCCATTTAGTGACTTTTATCTTTTGCTAGTAAAACTTTAAATAATTTATTCCTATAATTTTTTTTTCTAAATTCATAACTTATATACTCTTTTTTTTATCTCTAGTCGATGTGAGATTTGTAAGATGAGGGTTGTCTTCTATTTATATATTTTTTAATTTATTTTTTAATTGTTTTATCTCTTAAGAGATTTGAGATTTATAAGGTGAAAGTTGCTCTCTAATTGTTTTATAGCACGATTAAACTTAATAATAGTGGGTGATTTGATACTAATTTATTATAGTGAATTAAGAGTCTAACTCAACCCTATAAATCAACTTATAAGGTGATAGTTATTACTCACTTATATACTATTTAATTATCTTATCTCTAATCGATGTGGGACTAGTTTTTCAATAAATAATTGTCGCTAATAGTAAACTTTAGTGTAATATAAATACATTTTTAGTGACTATTATATATTAGCCATTAATATTTTTATTATATAATTAAATAGCGGCAATTAAATTATTGCCATTAAACAATTATCGTTAAAAATAATTTTTGTTGTAGTGAAGGAGAAATTAACTATGAAAAATTAATCACAAGAAATTATTTTCAATTAGGAAAGTCATAGAGCGGTTTCTTCGTTGAGCAAGAGCAAAGTCGCTCAGTAAATAGTTTTAGAAAGCTTAACTCACCTAATGAGAATATCCTCGCCTAGTGAGGATTCTATTTTCTTGAATTCTAATGTTTTATGCTTTGATTCTATGATGAAGTTTAAAGTTGTTATATTATGAAGATATGTTGTATTATGTTGCAATAATTAATGAATCATGTTGTAAAAAGTTAAAAATGATGAAGTCGGTTAGATGTTTTAAGTTGAATTGGACATTATTCCAAGTGTTGTATAAGTTTTTTTGAGTAAGTTTAGATATGTTGAACTAAATTGTGTTGTGTGCATGATGCATGTTGTTGAGTTGTGTTGTGAATTTAGGACTAAAGGAGAGAATGTTGTTTTTGAAAGTTGAAATATGACATTGTATGGATATGTGTTGTGGTGCTCTAAGAGTCCAATGTTGAAAACCCTTCTTGAGATAGATGGCTCTTGAAGTGGGTGTCTCTTCTACATCCTTAGTTGATACCGTATAGGGGCAAGGCCAAGCCATACTAGTTTAGAAGAGACAAAATCAAGTAA